TTGGTAGGCATACCGTGTACGTAATTGCTCAGTGCCTCATAAATAAAGATAACATATTATGCCTTTGTGAGACTGTTTTTAATACATGCTGATCCGGCGTAGCCTTACTTATTTGAGTGCGTAGGTACTACAATGTCTTTCGTACCATATTGCAGCCGTCGGACGGCAAGTCACAGATAAAACATATACGCGCGCGCACACACACACACACACACACACTCACACATACTCACACTCTCTCTTTCTCTAAGTTTATTAAATGTCCCGTTCCCCCCACCCCCCCCATCCCGTTCTTAACAGTGCGCACCCCTCCTTTCTCAAAAATCTGTATCCGCCCCTGAGCGTTTATTTCCATTTGTCACGTATAGTGAGTGAGTTAAGATATTAAGTCACATCGGCAGTATTTCAGCCACATCTTTGGTCACATATAGAGAAAGGTCGCATTTACATTCTGCTAATGCCCTGACGAGTGTTTGATTCTGTAGTTCGTCAAAACACGATTAAATCAGGTATCAAATTCCATTTATGTAGTTCTGTACCGTTTAATCAAGCCTTTACGATTAAATCAGGTATCAAATTCCATTTATACCGTTTAATCAAGCCTTTACCTGTACCGTTTAATCAAGCCTTTACCTGTACCGTTTAATCAAGCCTTTACCTGTACCGTTTAATCAAGCCTTTACCTGTACCGTTTAATCAAGCCTTTACCTGTACCGTTTAATCAAGCCTTTACCTGTACCGTTTAATCAAGCCGTTTAATCAACCTGTACCTGTACCGTTTAATCAAGCCTTTACCTGTACCGTTTAATCAAGCCTTTACCTGTACCGTTTAATCAAGCCTTTACCTGTATGCGTATGAATACATAGAGCTAAAGCGCTCGGTTCAAAAGGATCAGGTATAGAATCAGCAGGTACACTACCTGATCACATACATATATTGGCAACAAGGGGTTCACACGTATAGGTGAAATATATTCATCATAGTTCCCTACATGTCATAGAACCTTTGTCACACATGTGACCAACACCTGCGTCATATCACGTAGAGGTAACACTTACAGCTGGAGCAATACAGGCTGGCTAGATCTACCATCTGAATACAGTTACAACAAGCTGGGTATAGACAATTCCCTACAGTAAAGTGTATTAATAAAACAATTAATTTGTTCCAGAAAACAATGGGAAATGTATACGGCCTCCGGTGTCGCATAAAACGTAAGTTCGCTGGACTCCCAATCGACCTCACCCGTAACCGCACCCACCTCACCCCTAACCCATCTCACACCCCTCCAAGCCATCTCACCCCCAAACCCAAATGCGTACCAACCCATTTCACCACAACCCCACCAACCTCAACCTTAACCTCTTCAATCCATACAGGCAGTGCTGAGGTTCTAGTTGTCTATATAGGTGTGTAACCAGGCAGTGCTGAGGTTCTTGTTGTCTATATAGGTGTGTGACCAGGCAGTGCTGAGGTTCTTGTTGTCTATATAGGTGTGTAACCAGGCAGTGCTGAGGTTCTTGTTGTCTATATAGGTGTGTGACCAGGCAGTGCTGAGGTTCTTGTTGTCTATATAGGTGTGTAACCAGGCAGTGCTGAGGTTCTTGTTGTCTATATAGGTGTGTAACCAGGCAGTGCTGAGCTTCTTGTGTGACCAGGCAGTTCTTGTTGTCTATATAGGTGTGTGACCAGGCAGTGCTGAGGTTCTTGTTGTCTATATAGGTGTGTAACCAGGCAGTGCTGAGCTTCTTGTTGTCTATATAGGTGTGTGACCAGGCAGTGCTGAGGTTCTTGTTGTCTATATAGGTGTGTGACCAGGCAGTGCTGAGCTTCTTGTTGTCTATATAGGTGTGTAACCAGGCAGTGCTGAGGTTCTTGTTGTCTATATAGGTGTGTGACCAGGCAGTGCTGAGGTTCTTGTTGTCTATATAGGTGTGTAACCAGGCAGTGCTGAGGTTCTTGTTGTCTATATAGGTGTGTAACCAGGCAGTGCTGAGGTTCTTGTTGTCTATATAGGTGTGTAACCAGGCAGTGCTGAGGTTCTTGTTGTCTATATAGGTGTGTAACCAGGCAGTGCTGAGGTTCTTGTTGTCTATATAGGTGTGTGACCAGGCAGTGCTGAGGTTCTTGTTGTCTATATAGGTGTGTAACCAGGCAGTGCTGAGGTTCTTGTTGTCTATATAGGTGTGTGACCAGGCAGTGCTGAGGTTCTTGTTGTCTATATAGGTGTGTAACCAGGCAGTGCTGAGGTTCTTGTTGTCTATATAGGTGTGTAACCAGGCAGTGCTGAGGTTCTTGTTGTCTATATAGGTGTGTAACCAGGCAGTGCTGAGGTTCTTGTTGTCTATATAGGTGTGTAACCAGGCAGTGCTGAGGTTCTTGTTGTCTATATAGGTGTGTAACCAGGCAGTGCTGAGGTTCTTGTTGTCTATATAGGTGTGTAACCAGGCAGTGCTGAGGTTCTTGTTGTCTATATAGGTGTGTAACCGGGCAGTGCTGAGGTTCTTGTTGTCTATATAGGTGTGTAACCAGGCAGTGCTGAGGTTCTTGTTGTCTATATAGGTGTGTAACCGGGCAGTGCTGAGGTTCTTGTTGTCTATATAGGTGTGTAACCAGGCAGCGCGTGTACCTATACAGTTACAGTTTATAACGATATTAATTACAAACTATGGAAGGCAACTAAATCTCAGAGCTTGTCACTCTTGTTTCCAGACAAATTCTCATTTTGTGTGTGTCACGTCATTTTAGGCCTCAGTTACCTGAAAAATGCTTAATAATTCGATTTTCTTAATGAGACGTATGAATGGGGCCCTGACAAGACTATGACGTCATTCCGTTATTCGGAATTCTCATCTAATGATTGAAAGTAAGCCTTCACACAGGAAACTCGGTTTCGGACAAAGGCTTGCTTGCATGATCACAAAAAACTATCTTTCATTCATCCCCGCCCACTAGCCTCTAGACTTTACCAACAATAGCTGCGTGTCATTTGGGGTTTGCAGGACACATATATAGCTATATATAGATATCGTAATATTCGGTCATGGGGCACTGGGGATGTGACAGTTTATAATACAACTGGTTAAGTAGTTGACAGCCATATACAACATACACGACATGCCGCTGTCAGTCGCGTGTTTTGGAAGTTGAAGACGGTGAAATACATAAATATAGCACACATGAGAGGAATAAGTCGATTTTTCGAATAAAAATGCAATGATACATGAACCCAATGTGTTTCACTGTGGTCTTATTGATTGCCGCTAAACATTTCCTATGAATAAAGGCTGTGTTAAAGGCTGCTGGAGTTAATGTAATCATTTACAATGGACATCATTATTTCATTCATGTAGTCATTCTGCTGTCTTGGAGTGTAATTGTCAGGTAGATGTCTATACGTTATCCTCAAGTCTTAGATGAAGCTGATTCTGAGGGCAGCGTCTGGTATAGTTCGATTGTACCGTGTTCCACCATCATACGCTATGCATGTTATTTTCATATTGTTGATACTTGAATACAATGTAAATAATCGAGTCTGGACCAGAATAATCGACTTGATTGATATCATTGATTGACATCCATCTACGCAATTGACAACCCAATCTCGTTTGAGATCATTTATGACAAACATGAGTGTGCTTGAAGACCAATTCTATCTCAGATCTTCATGGGCTCCTAAAGATTGTCAGTGGAGTTGTGCACACATTTTTCCACACGTAAGTAAAGAAGGATGAATAGGTCACAACATATACGTAATGATAACAAGTGGTATTATCATACCCACATACTCGGACCAAGACTAACACTTGGTTTCTGAAAATGAGAAACTCTGGGGAAAACAAAAATCTCTATCTAATTTGAAATGGAGAAATAGGCCTAAACATCTCTCTCCAGTATAGGACATATATCTTTATACAATTCATCTGATACACAGATTGTGGCCATAAAAGTAACGAAACAAAACAATAGTAAAGACAGTTTTCTCCCAGGACAGGAGCGGTGGGGTAGCCTAGTGGTTAAAGCGTTCGCTTGTCACGCCGAATACCCGGGTTCGATTCCCTACATGGGTACAATGTGTGAATCCCATTTCTGGTGTCCCCCGCCATTACATTGCTGGGATATCGCTAAAAGCGGCGTAAAACCATACTCACTCATGCACTCTCGGCGGGACATGCGACCGCTACAGCCGTTACCTCGCTGTCCGTCAATAATGATGTAGCGTATCAGAGTAGCATTATAATGGTGTCAGTGACAAACAAGGAGAGCTGATCCCAAATCATTCTTTTTACGCCTTTGTTAATTATTAAAGGGCAAGGGGCGGTGGGGTAGCCTAGTGGTTAAAGCATTCGCTCGTCACGTAGCAGACCCTGGTTCGTTTCCCCACGTGGGTACAATGTGTGAAGCCCATTTCAGGTGATATTGCGGGAATATTGCTAAAAGCGGGGTAAAACCACACTCACTCACTCACTCACTCACTCACTGACTACAATAGGGCAAACATCTACACACGCTAGGAAGATCCGGGTTAGAATTAATCTTGAGTATCCCATGCTTGTCGTAAGAGGCGACTGACGGGGCCGGGTGGTCATACTCGCTGACCTGGTTGACGCCCAGTTGCGCAGCTCGATGCTCTTGATGTCAGTCACTGGTTGTGTCGTCGAGACTAGGTTCTCTACACACAGCTGCCATAAATGAGTGCGGCGTTAAACAAATCTTGCAGTCTTTCACGTTCAATCACATTCACTTCAGAAATAAATCTTCGTAACACTCCGTAACATTATTGACAGTTAAAATGCTATTTATCAACTATGAAAATCGATAACATTAGATAAAATGTCACATTTAAACATTAATTTATAAAAAAATAAATCATTTCTTCAAACTGAGAGGATCCGTCAACTGTAAACCCCCTATCAATCAATGTATGTGGGTTTTAATGGGTATAAACGCCATTGTTTACATACTATTATGGGTAAAGGTTATTTTTGAAGTGACTTACCTTCGCGCACTCTTCATGTGAGGCACCTACTTCTCCAATCTGGGGGGTCACCTGTGACTTCCCTCCTGGGGTAAAGATACAGTGACCGGGGCCGTTAGCCATCCCAAGCTCCTGGTTCCAGGGGGAGGGTTGGTCAGCCTCATCTTTCCTGAGTTGGGGGACAGGAGGCAGCGCGTGTGGGGCGCGTGCTCGGTGCCAGAAATGGTCAGAATTCCTGCATGCGTACCCCTCGTTGCTCTCCTACAAGAACAGTTAACTCACACACCGGGTTATTATCTAAGTGCTATCCTCCATCTGGCAATGTTAACGTTTCCATAATGTTATTGAAGATCTTTGATTAGTGGCACCTCTCAAGTAAATCTCAATCACCGCCGCCGAATATTGTGGTCGGCTCGTGTTAAGATCCCTGCGGGTGAGTGTGTCCACGTCTGACTGTTATAACCTGAAATCCGTGTGTGTATTCCATCCGAGAGTAGCCCCTCCTCTTTTACAGGTACGAGCAGCGGATCAATACGAAGCCGAACAGGGATGTACACAGAACTCGGTAGCTATAGCAACAGGTAGAACGCCACACTCGCTCAAATATCCGTATGATCTCAGATCGAAGGATGTGGCGAGACGCAATTACACAACATACTCGAACTTGCACATACTCGAACAAGGGGTGAAAATGTTCCACAGGATATCCGAGATTCACCGGAAAATTACCTCTCGACATTTGATTACCCTTCTAAATAATGACGTTCGACAACTGTTCACAATCGATTACGCGACTCTGTCCTGGGAATTGTCATTAAACGGAACTGCGAAAAAATTATTAGCGGGAACAGACCTGCAGTAAGTCATTAGGGTGGAATTACATCATCGGAACATGGCCAGATGACGCAAATTGTCACCTGCTTCTTAGTACAATAGGACGCTGTACGTGCTCTTCAGAAGAAATAGACACTGTATGTGTTTGTCATTAATCCTGATGATAAAACAGGCTTATTCTTGTTGACAGCTGTTTCCAAGAGATAAATTACTTTTGAATGAAACGATTTGTGAGTCAACTCTATCCGTATTTATATAGAACACATGCTTGAAGGCCCGGGTTCGAATCCCGGTGGAGACAGCAAAATTTGCGACCTGGGTCTCATACTGTGTTGTCTCCCTGGGCAAGGCACTTCGTCCACATTGCACTCAGTCCACCCAGCTGTTCAAAATGGGTACCAGAGAAGCGGATGTACGGACCTTACAATATTGTAGTAGCTGCTTTGAAAGTACAATTCCGTCAGGGTAATAGTGTAACACCAGAGAGCAGCATCGTGTTGGATTCTAGACGAAAAAATTATTATTATTATTAATATTATTATTATTGACGGAAGGTCCTATGGAATAATGGCCATTTATAACGCGCCTTTTCCACACACTTGTGCATGCTCAAAGCGCTAACACATTATTTCCCCGGATAACCCAAACTGTCTGTTAGGCGCTAGAAGGTTATTAGTCGCATGACTTGCCCCACCGGGTGGGAGAACAGAGGCAATATTGAACAAACTCGCTTGCCTAAGGTGAGAGACCAAATGAGCCACATGTGCTTCCTTGTGGGACATGACTAGAAACTTGAGACCTGAGCTCTATCCACAGGACCACGCGTCACCATATCCCGTATATGATATAGAGGCCGGTTTTGAATTGATTGTTTTCGTTACTTTCGATTCATTTACAGTCTGTCTCACAGTCCCTGAACCACAATATTTTCCATACTGCTTAGAGCTCCCTGCAATGCTTAAGCCTTAAATATAAACCTGAAGTGGGCCTCTCACTATATATTAAGCAGCTCTTGTTTTCCCGGAATAACCGCATTTGAGGGTTTTGTTTGCTCTCAGGTTTTACTTTTTGTAATTGTTTTTCCTAACTCTATGTGAACATCAACATTCAAATGATATACATGTATGAGTGTTTGAAATCACTTGAAAAATAGCGTCCAAGACCAATTTCAAAGTGCAAATGTTTCCCCAAGCAGGATTAGAACCGAATCTCCCATCTTATTAAGCAGACGCGCTACCTCACGGCCACCGATCCGACAAAAACGTTGAGTTTGAATTATCTATTTATAGTTATTGTCATTAAATTGTATTTATTTGCGCTTCAGTTATCATGGGCGTAACTAATGAAAAAGAAATTGAATGCAAATAACAACAGTTAAGTCGAGAGTTGTTGTTCAGCTAGGGGGGTTCGGGGGCATCCCCCCCCCGAGAAAATTTTGAAATTAAAACGCTCTGAAATATGTTTTCCTGCATTTTGAGAAGTAAATTAGCGATATTTTCAAGAGCAAATTAGCATCGAAATAGGGTCGAAATAATAACCAAAATGATACGTTTTTGGGGTAAATCTACATGAAAACTTATAGATGGACAAAATTGTTGTACGCAAATGCGTACTTTGCGTAATAGAAGTTACGCCCATGGTTATTGTTATGTAGCTTCATTCATCTACATTATAATTATTCATCAGCTCAGTGGTCTTGGGCTCCTCAAGTCATTGTGAACAAGCCTGAGCTAGATCGCTGTGTTCCAGTCCCAGTGTGGCAACTCGGTGACTGATCTATGGTCTGTCTTGGCAAATAAGTAAAGGGGTGATGGGATAGCCAAGTCGTTAAACCTGAAGCTTGTCACGCCGAACACCCAGAGGCACATTGTGTAAAGCCGGTGTCCCCCTTTGTGGTTGCTTGGTTGGTTGTTCAGCAATATTCCAGCTATATGGCGGCGGTCTGTAAATAATCGAGTCTGGACCAGACAATCCAGTGACCGACAGCATGAGCATCGAATCTAATTGGGATACGATGACCTGTGTCAACCAGGTCAGCGAGCCCGAGGCTGACCACCCGATCCCGTTAATCGCCTCTTACGACGAGCATGGGTTACTGAAGACCAGTTCCAACCCGCATCTTCACGAGTTTCCCCTTTTGTGATAGTATTGGAATATTTTAAGGCGGTGTAAAACGACACTCACTCACTAAGATTAATACATGTCTACTAACTGCGTCACTTGTAGTTCCTGCTCCTTGCTCTTAACTATAGCAGTAACACCAGGACACGGCATATAGCTGAGAGGTGACACTAGGTCTGAGTAGTAACACCAGGACACGGCATATAGCTGAGAGGTGACACTAGGTCTGAGTAGTAACACCAGGACACGGCATATAGCTGAGAGGTGACACTAGATCTCTAGGTCTGAGTAGTAACACCAGGACACGGCATATAGCTGAGAGGTGACACTAGGTCTGCTTAACTATAGTAGTAACACCAGGACACGGCATATAGCTGAGAGGTGACACTAGGTCTGCTTAACTATAGTAGTAACACCAGGACACGGCATATAGCTGAGAGGTGACACTAGATCTGCTTAACTATAGTAGTGACACCAGGACACGGCATATAGCTGAGAGGTGACACTAGGTATGCTCTACTATAGCAGTAACACCAGGACACGGCATATAGCTGAGAGGTGACACTAGGTCTGCTTAACTATAGTAGTGACACCAGGACACGGCATATAGCTGAGAGGTGACACTAGGGTAACACCAGGACACGGGCATATAGCTGAGAGGTGACAGTAATCTGCAGTAGTGACACACGGCATATAGCTGAGAGGTGACACTAGGTCTGCTTAACTATAGCAGTAACACCAGGACACGGCATATAGCTGAGAGGTGACACTAGGTCTGCTTAACTATAGCAGTAACACCAGGACACGGCATATAGCTGAGAGGTGACACTAGGTCTGCTTAACTATAGCAGTAACACCAGGACACGGCATATAGCTGAGAGGTGACACTAGGTCTGAGTAGTAACACCAGGACACGGCATATAGCTGAGAGGTGACACTAGGTCTGCTTAACTATAGTAGTAACACCAGGACACGGCATATAGCTGAGAGGTGACACCAGTCTGACACGGCAGTAATACCAGGACACGGCATATAGCTGAGAGGTGACACTAGGTCTGCTTAACTATAGTAGTAACACCAGGACACGGCATATAGCTGAGAGGTGACACTAGGTCTGCTTAACTATAGTAAGTTACACCAGGACACGGCATATAGCTGAGAGGTGACACTAGGTCTGCTTAACTATAGTAGTGACACCGGGACACGGCATATAGCTGAGAGGTGACACTAGGTCTGCTTAACTATAGCAGTAACACCAGGACACGGCATATAGCTGAGAGGTGACACTAGGTCTGCTTAACTATAGCAGTAACACCAGGACACGGCATATAGCTGAGAGGTGACACTAGGTCTGCTTAACTATAGTAGTAACACCAGGACACGGCATATAGCTGAGAGGTGACACTAGGTCTGCTTAACTATAGCAGTACACCAGGACACGGCCAGGACATATGCTGAGAGGTGACACTAGGGCAGGTGACACTGATAGGTCTGCATGCTGCTTAACTATAGCAGGACGGCAGGACACGGCATATAGCTGAGAGGTGACACTAGGTCTGCTTAACTATAGCAGTTACACCAGGACACGGCATATAGCTGAGAGGTGACACTAGGTCTGCTTAACTATAGTAGTAACACCAGGACACGGCATATAGCTGAGAGGTGACACTAGGTCTGCTTAACTATAGTAGTAACACCAGGACACGGCATATAGCTGAGAGGTGACACTAGGTCTGCTTAACTATAGCAGTTGACACCAGGACACGGCATATAGCTGAGAGGTGACACTAGGTCTGCTTAACTATAGTAGTGACACCAGGACACGGCATATAGCTGAGAGGTGACACTAGGTCTGCTTAACTATAGCAGTAACACCAGGACACGGCATATAGCTGAGAGGTGACACTAGGTCATATAGCTTAACTATAGGACACGGCAGTATAGCACCAGGACACGGCATATAGCTGAGAGGTGACACTAGGTCTGCTTAACTATAGTAGTAACACCAGGACACGGCATATAGCTGAGAGGTGACACTAGGTCTGCTTAACTATAGTAGTAACACCAGGACACGGCATATAGCTGAGAGGTGACACTAGGTCTGCTTAACTATAGTAGTAACACCAGGACACGGCATGTAGCTGAGAGGTGACACTAGGTCTGCTTAACTATAGCAGTAACACCAGGACACGGCATATAGCTGAGAGGTGACACTAGGTCTGCTTAACTATAGTTACACCAGGCATATAGCCAGGATCACGGGCTATAGTAGCTGAGTATAGCTGGTGCAGGTCTGCTTAACTATAGTAACAGTACACATATGCAGTGACACGGCATATAGCTGAGAGGTGACACTAGGTCTGCTTAATCCATAGCAGTAACACCAGGACACGGCATATAGCTGAGAGGTGACACTAGGTCTGCTTAACTATAGTAGTAACACCAGGGCATATAGCTGAGAGGTGACACTAGGTCTGCTTAACTATAGCAGTAACACCAGGACACGGCATATAGCTGAGAGGTGACACTAGGTCTGCTTAACTATAGTAGTAACACCAGGACACGGCATATAGCTGAGAGGTGACACTAGGTCTGCTTAACTATAGCAGTAACACCAGGACACGGCATATAGCTGAGAGGTGACACTAGGTCTGCTTAACTATAGCAGTAACACCAGGACACGGCATATAGCTGAGAGGTGACACTAGGTCTGCTTAACTATAGCAGTAACACCAGGACACATATAGCTGAGAGGTGACACTATAGCTGAGAGGTGACACTAGGTCAGGACACGGCATATAGCTAACTATAACTATAGTAGTAACACCAGGACACGGCATGAGAGGTGACACT